GTGTGTGTGTGTGTGTGTGTGTGTGTGTGGTTGTGTGTGTGTGTGTGTGTGTGTGTGTGTGTGCATCTTCGTGTATGTCGCGTGTGTTCGATTGAAAGCATACTGTTTTGTCAATGACAGACAGACCGACAGACAGACAGACAGAAAGACAGAAGGGGAAAACGATGAAAGAAAGAAAGGCGGAGAGGGAGAGACACAGGAAAAGAGAGGGGTTGAGAGGGGAGCGGGCAAATTAAACAACCTCAGCAACAACAAATAACACAGGAAAGACACACATAACTCAACCGTACTCACCTCTACACGCGCGCCGGTCACTCATCAGCCTGTACCCATCATGGCACTCACACCGGAAACTGGTCAGTGTGTCCACACATGTGTGCTGGCACTGGTTCACTCGCACACTTTGACACTCGTTGATGTCTGTTGATATATTTAAACAATAACTTTCCCCTGGACTGACAAGAAATGGGAGTTCGAAGAGAAGTTTCTTTTCCGTTTCGTGCTCTGGCTGTATCTCTTGAGTACAAGACTTTGTTCAAAGGGCGTTAAATTTTTAATGAAGCGTTTTAGTTTTTTAAAGTTTTAGTAGAGGTTTTACGGCGCTCGCACCTGCATAAGGTCATATGAGTGCCAAGGGGTGGATGTCAACAGAAAAGTCCTTACAGGGAATCAGACTTACTCTGCTCACCGGTCTAGCTTCAACAGCACAGTCTGCTTTGACTATCAAGGCACCTCGGAAATAGCGGGTCACAAGAGTGTGACAAACACACAAAAGCAGTAAAGGAAAATGGCGATTGTAAGGATTAGGAAAGAAGAAGCAGCAGTTCCCTGTTGTAGTTCAGGCACAGTTATGACCATGACATTGTTGGATTAGCCCATTTACAATTCTACTCTGCATTAGAACGGGAAATGTCCCCCCCTTTGGGAATGGCCTAAAGACACTTCAGTCAGTGGCACCGCCCCAGGGGGGGGGGGGGTATTAAGCGTTTTACACAACAGTGGTTTACAACAGCTGTTGTTGATAAATTTCTCTGTGAATTATGAGAAACGACATTGATGTGATTTAAATCCAACCCACATTTTGAATGAAGTGGATCTTCCGGAAAGCGCAAATAACTCTAGATGGCTGACGTTCTGGCGTGGTCTGCTCCTACTTTTTCTTTTTGTGTTTGTAATTTTAATATTGTCGTACTATTAGTATTATATAATATACCTTAATGAGGTCAAAATGACCTTTACGCCGTAATGGTATTTTCTTCAGGTATCAGGTCTGGAGCAGACAATGACGATCATGGTATCCCGTTTCTTACTTGTTAGTGTCTGTTTTGTTTTAGTAGAGGTTTTACGGCGCTCGCGACTGCATAAGGTCATATGAGCGCCAGAAAATTAGAGGTGTTACAAGAGAGTAACAAATATAAAAAAAGAAGGAGGGGAGATAAGGACGATAGATGTTTGATAGGAAAGAAGAAGCAAACCACACCAGAGCACCTGCCAACCATCCACTGTTAGCGTCTGTCTTCCTGATCCGCTCGTTTTTTTCTCGTTGTGATATATTTTGCTGCAAAATTGTACTAAAGTAATGATGTACTTACTGCAGTGTTGCTCGTCTGACTCATCAGCGCAGTCAGGGCTCTTGTTGCAGACAATCTCGTATGGGATGCACTGACCGTCGTCACAACGGAACTGATTGCCTGGACATGTTGGCTCTGGAGTTACTGGATAAGTGGATAATCAGAGCCAACAAGTCAAAATGACAACCAAGGGAATAGAGGGTAAATGGGAAAAGGGGAGGGGGGAGAGAGATTTTCGCTCACAGATGACAAAAACTACAATAACAATGACTGTAATTGTGATAATGTTGATGAGATGATTATGATAACGATGGCAATTAAACTGCTAGCAATTTCGAGTGGTCGTGGAGATCTAGAGTTATAAAATGTGCATTTGTGCGTTGTGTGTGTATCTGGGTATGTGTGTGTGTATGTGTGTGTGCGTGTGTGTGTGTGTGTGTGTGTGTGTGTGTG